CGTTCCATAAGAAGAGAGGAGAAACCAGAACCAGTACCACCACCAAAGGAGTGGAAAATCAGGAAACCTTGGAGACCAGTACATTGATCAGCCTGTAAAAATTGAAGAACTTTAAGTACTTTGRTTACYTTTYCATTTTTTACCACAAATATTCATACTTACAAGTTTTCTGATTCTGTCAAGGACAAGGTCAATGAGTTCCTTGCCAACAGTGTAGTGACCACGAGCATAGTTGTTAGCTGCATCCTCTTTACCAGTGATCAGCTGCTCGGGATGGAAAAGCTGTCGGTAGGTGCCAGTTCTTACTTCATCTGTAAACATAAAATCACAGATGTTGTTACTAATTAAATCGCTTGGAAATTCAAGATAAATTATTTTCTTTGGTATGTTTGAACTGAATAATAAATGCGTTTAAGTTTTTGTTCGGAAATCCTGTTTCTAAGAACCACAAACAATAACGTGTTTTTTTATAATTGCTATGTTGTATTATTGTTGCTTATTGTACTCTTAACACAATAGAAACGYCATGAATATTCAATATTTCGTATATTCGATTGTCTACAAGATTTTCAGCTGCGCGCTATTCGAAAAATTAGCATCAAAATTATTCCGTTACTACGGTAAACATACGGACACTTCGAAGAGATTTTTCTGTCACTCCCAAAAAAAGAAGACTAGCAGCTCGGGCTCATAAAAAAGCTTACAATAATCGTTTCATAATCTAAGGAAAAGGTTTCTGWGAAAAGGTATCCGCGCGCTGTCAAGCTTGTCGTCTTGGCATTCAAAAACGGGACGGATTACAAGTAAACCAAATTTTAAAAATTTAAAAAGTCGATGGAAAAACTACTTTCAAACGACAAAATATAGGATAAAAGGTTTCTTACCTACTACAGTTGGCTCCAAGTCGACAAAGACAGCTCTTGGAACGTGTTTTCCAGCTCCGGTCTCGCTAAAGAAAGTGTTAAACGAGTCATCHCCACCACCGATCGTCTTGTCGCTGGGCATCTGGCCATCGGGCTGRATACCRTGTTCAAGACAGTACAACTCCCAACAAGCGTTTCCAATCTGAACACCGGCYTGACCAACGTGGATTGAGATACATTCACGCTGAARAGAAAAAGAAAGAATCAAAAAACTAATCGGCAAACATGTTGACATTTAATCTGCTTCACTTAAGACCACGAGGTGAAGGCGGAGGCTAATGAAACTCAAGGAATTTTTATCAAATTCTTTTCCAYAATTCTATTCTTTCAAGACTTACCATGTTGAATTCTTGGTATAGAAGAGTCTTTGAGATAGAATAAAATTAGTTTGAGAGAAAATTKCTTCCCAACAAAGTACAGGCTACGYACGCTTTGTCGTTTCGAAGGCTAAATGTACGATTTCTTGAAGACAGCGTCGTTATAAGGAAACCTTTTGTTCCGACCGGGAATTAACCTAATATGATTGGCTAATGACTAAWACGTCATCAATAATATTAACGTTTCTATGGTAATTTGAATCAATAATCATTCGGGTTTCTCTCGTTGGYGGGATACTTCAATATTATCGAGGTTCCCGCCTAAATATTTATCTTGGTGTCTCTATGGCACCACACAGGGAAACACCCGCAGCCCTCCTCTAATGTTCTTTGGTGCGTTTAGGTTTACCAGCCTCTAAAGTCTAATATATCGAGACCTTTGATATATTCTTTGACAGTTTTAGAAAAATAGAGTCGTCTTGCGAGCAAAAGAAAAAGGAATAAAAAAGGTGAAAAGAATGGAGTTAGGAAAAAAAACAGAAAGAAACGATGAGAAAAAGTATAAAAATCACAAAAGGAAGAGTTGAAGGACAAGGAGAAGAGTGAAAAGTCATCTAGAATTTTCGCTTCTCAGAATTTGACTGAAAAAAAGATAGATTCACGAGCGAAAATAAAATCTTTTAATAAAATAAAAAAAAAAAGATCATCGTTTAAATGAAAAAAAAAGACTAAACACTTTCAAAATTAGGGGGGAAAGGATGAAGACAGATAATAGAAGTGAAATCATAAAATACAATTTAAAAGCTGCTCAGAATTTCGGTGTGGTGTGGTTTCTTAATTGGTTTTAAGAATATTAAATTTCAGTGATATTCGACTACAAAGGACTATATAACTAAACGGCACTATTGAACTCTGTAGCCTAGGCAGGATGGGGTGGGGTGAGGGGGGTGGGGTGGGGTGAGGAGTCGTTATACTTTATTTATAGTTTGACCCCAGTCTCTTTCCCCACTCGGCCAAACTTGTACAACTGGTTCGATGTGGTTCATAACAAATCAAAATGGAAGCAAGTGACTCGATCATGGAAAATCTAAATGAGGACCAAAGTCCTTCGTATTGTCCCATTTACGCTTTAGCTTCGCACTGTTCTCGTGTTCTTGAGATAATGAATKTGCACCGGAAAGAAAGYYTAAAACTCTGCGACGTGGTCCTACGCATCGGCGACGYTCACATCCCTTCCCACCGAGCGGTACTAGCTTCTTGTAGCCCATATTTCTACGCCATGTTCAACGGRGAACTCTCCGAGAGCAGACAAAAGGTTATTACAATGAAGGATATCGATGCTGGAATTATGGAAGCCCTTGTTGAATTTACTTACACGGGTAAAGTCGAGATATCAGTGGAGAATGTTCAAGGGTTGCTTTCCACTGCTTCTTTGGTTCAATTTCACGAAGTTCGCGACCTATGYTGTCAATTTCTCGAATCCCAACTCGATCCATCGAACTGTTTAGGTATCCGAAAATTTACCGAAGCTTATGGCTGTACGAAATTTATAGAAACCGTAGATAAATACGTRCTAGAGAACTTTAAAAGTGTCATGAAGTCCGAAGAGTACGCACTTTTACCCTCTGAACTCTTGACGAAAGTGATTTCGAGTGACGATTTGAATGTGATTCTAGAGGAAGAAGTTTACGAAGCCGTGATGACTTGGATTCGCCACGATTTGAACAACAGAGTCAGTAAATTACCCTCTCTAATTCGCTTCGTTCGCATGCCGTTGGTGTCGAAACATTATCTTCTAGATCGAATTGACAATGACAGTTTGATTCGCTCAAATCTAACGTGTCGTGATTTACTGGACGAAGCCAAAAATTATCACCTTCTTCCAGAACAGAGAGGACGATTTCGCTCAGATCGAATGCGACCTAGAAAATCAATGATGGGAACACTTTATGCCGTCGGAGGCAAAGAAGCTGGAGAAACGATATCAAATACTATGGAAAGCTTCAGGTAAGATTGRAAATATTAATATATACATCTTAACTTTACTTCAATTAGAGGTTTGAATCAAATACAGAAAATCAAATATAAGCTTGCATTRTAATTGAGTCAACATAATTGTTAGATGTTCTACTAAGTATTTTGCCCTCCACCAACTGTGATTTTGCGAACATTAAATATATTTTCTTTATACTCTGGTGTAAATCACAAACCGCATTTTTYCAAGGTGTAGAGTTAACAGTTCATTAAGTACTCGACCCTATGATGTGTACACTGGCAGGAAGCCAATTTACTGCATTATATCCTACTAACAACAGCTTGCAATTTGATTATGACCGGTTTCCTTGCTTTATTTTTCCTGCATAATTAATGAAAGAACTTAAAATAAAAGAGTCTTTGTCTGTTGGGTACGAGGAAGAGTMTTCATTTCCATATGGGCTGGATAGTTGGTTAACCAAGGGTTACTAACAGGAAATTCCTTAGTGAATATGAATCAGAGGGGGTCTGAAGAAGTAGTGGTACACAGATGGGACTTGACTTAATGGTGGAAGTAAGGTCCCTCAACCCAATGTATAGTTCCAGAAATCATCCATACCCACCCTACAGAGGAATTTGGAATTTCCGAAGAGTAGAGGGGTCAGAGAAAGAACAAAAGTTACAGAGTTTGTATGGAAGAAAATTGGAATTTCCAGGGGGTAGGGGGGTGTCTTTAAAAAAATCCTCTGTGAGGGGGTATGGATAATTTTTGGAACTACACAATAAATACAAAGTAATAATTCAAATGTCACACCTATAGTCGGTGTATTTTTTTATTAGCTATTCAGAGGTTGAGGAAAAAACACAGTCACTCATAACAGCTACTGTTTTGTTAATCACATCCAAATTTCATTGAGTGGATGGGAAGTTYGTTCTTTAGTCCACCCAATATTAAACACAATAATATTGACCATTGTCTTATCTCTGCCTCATGCGGAACTTTGGGATAGTGCTCATCGTTCCTTCTACACTGTTCTCACTTGGCTGCCATGTTGACTGGAACAAAAATATTTTGACTGGCTAGCCTCTCATTCAAGCACTTTAGAATGAGTTTGAATGCTGGGCATAAGCATAAATATACAGTCAATTCAAAAAACCTTGTCGTCAACTGGCTCAAGCCTACGCGACTGGACCGAAAGGAATATGGGTAAAAATCACTGAAGCGGTTAAATATTCGTTCTGAATTAATTGTTCCCGCTAGAAATAAGATAATAATTGCGAGAAACAATCCATCAAATGCATGTCTTTGGGTTTAGGGAAAGAAAAACAAAGTAGCTATGATTCAGTTCACAATTCTGAAAGTATGAAGGCATTTACAAAACGTCTCCTTCAACACTTCCCACTCTTCTACGAAGGTTCGTGCTGTGAACCAGGCATAACTAGTCAGATAAAATTATGGAGTCAACTCAGCTTCAATGATTGCTACCCAGAGTTCCTTTCAGTCCAGTCGCGTAGACTTGAGTTGGTTGACGACATTTTTTGAATTGACTGTAAACATAAACATGCCTTCTGCTGACGAAGGCCAATAGACCAATTCAGCTTATAACCAGGGACAGGGCTTTTAACCAGGATTTTTACATTTTTGTAAGAATTATATTGTCAATCCAATATTACTTTCAATGTCTTTTTATTTTAGTCTTCAGTACAACAAGTGGCAAGTATCTGCGTCCCTTAATGTACCACGTCAACAACTTGGAGTAGGTAGCATTGGGAACAGAATATATGCCGTTGGWGGCTCAGATGGCTTCACCAGACTCAGTTCTGTAGAGACTTATAACCCAGAAACAAACAAATGGACYTATGTGAAGCCTCTGAATACGAGTAGGTCAGGTGTGGGCCTGGGCGTGATTGGAGAGACMCTTTATGCACTGGGTGGCTATGATGGAAGGGCGTGTCTTAAGACTGTGGAAAGATATGACCCTCAAGTCGATTCATGGAGTTGTGTYGCACCAATCAATGTCACAAGAAGTTTTCCAGGTAWTTACAGTGCAATGCACAAAAGTATKACCACATTATTAATATATTTGCATACTTCTATGCACAGGCTTTTGGCTACAAAATGAGCTTTTAGGTGCCTTATTTGGTAAAACCAGCCAGCTTTGCATCGAAATGTGTTGGTTTAACATAAGAAAGCCTGTGTATAGAAGTATGYGAGTACATTAATGTAGTCGTACAACCATTGGTCCCCCGCAAGAGGCTCTTCTGAGACCTTTACTACACATGCACTACAACTTACATTCATTATTAACAAARCACAACACTCATCTGACATGTTGATTTTATGCTTTTCAATTTATTACTTAATGTTCTAACTCTTTTTTTTCAAGGTGTTGCTGAACTTGGAGGTCGTCTCTTTGTCATAGGTGGTAACGATGGAATCTCATTTCTTAACTCAGTGGAATGCTAYGACCCATTAAGTAACAAATGGATGAATGTTCCTCCGATATTGCGTGCTCGTGCAGGCATTGGTGCTGCAGCACTTGATGGCATGYTSTTTGCCATTGGTGGTTTTGATGGAATCCAAAGACTTGATGTTGTYGAGATGTATGAATCACGCATGAATACATGGACYGAGGTTTCACCTCTYAAATCATGCCGAGATGGWGTATGTGTTACAGCTTATGGTTGCTGGATTTATGCAGTGGGTGGGATTGATGGACCTTCGTAYCTCAACACAGTAGAGGCTTATGACCCTAAAACTGATTCATGGACYGAGATGCCTCCRATGTCCAGRTGTCGAGCTGCAGCTGGAGTTTCAATATTGCTMCCCCAGTGCTAGCATTATATGCTACACTCCTKAATTTCTATTTTGTATATGTTTTGCACACTTTTTGAAATTCTAAGGATATGGTATGGTAAATATTGTGCTCTGGTCATCTCATGTTCTTTGAATTTTGGTATTTAGCTTCACAAAGATAAATYGTACCTCTTCAGCAACAGGATTATTGCTTCTAATCAATAAGACCTTTCAAAACAATGATTCCAGAGTTTCCTYGATGCAATGGAATGTTACATGCTCTATGCAGATACACTTCTGTCCAGAAGTTTTTTGTTTTAGAAGTGTATATAGTGAACAGGRCAAGATGGAAACAAACTTTTCTTTTAATGAGATTTGCCTACAGCAGTCAAAGAAAATAAGACTACATCTGGCACTAGGCTATGGTACCAACCAACTCCACCCTGAATACATGGTAGTAACAATAGCAACCTTTAGCTCCGACGATAAATATGAGATTGGACRAGTTTTAAAATCATTCCTGTGTACGTGGTCAACTCTGAATCTTAGTCAATTTYTGATTTTTTACAATCTAAAATTTCAGTCTACATACACAAATACAAAATAATAGTGCCAATCGTACTCGAGCTAGCCTGTGTGCCTCCGAACGTTTACTCATAAAGTCCGTCTGCCAAACAGCGCAGGAAATCTTGTTCCTGAACCCTCTACTGCATGCTTTACAACAGAAAATTCCGGATGCAGAGCAGGCTATACTCGAGCCAATATGGTACTCGTKCGCATGCTTAGGTCTCCATTTTGGAATCTGGGACAACTACTGAAACRGAAGATTGGGAAAAGGATGAGGATTAAGGATATGATAATAAAAGAGCTTCATTAGCTTGTCCTATTAATAATTTGAGAGGAAGACATCCATTGTCCTCTAGTATCAAATTAYATTGAACAGATATTTTGTAAAATATTAATTGTAAAAACTATTTTTTTCCAATTGAGAAAATAGGAGTATTTAGGAAATTCTAAAAAAATAAAAATTCTTATTTCCTTCAACTTTCCTCGAGTATTCATTATTTCTTTGCTATATTTGTCCACATTTCAGCACCTAAATTATTACATCAAATGGCAAATAGATTTTACATTTGCAACAATTTGCCAAAATATTTGTTTGAATCAACAATTATTTCTTTTACTATCTTCAAGAMATTTTTCTACATGGAAAAATTCAGGAAAGCTGACACCTTAACTAAGTTGTGACATAGTTAATAGAGGGGTTGTGATGACTTAACTAAATATTAAAGCATTAATTTTGTTGTATTCTGCCGAGTGTTTTTTTCTAAATTATTTAAGATAAATGAGACCTGTTTTTCTTCAAACTTTTTTATTAAACAACTTTCACTCAACTCGTTGTACACTAAAAAAAACTTCTAAAGAAACTAATGATGTTTGTTTCTAGATGGAA